GGGGGGGGGAGGCAGCTTCTTTTTCTACCCTTCAATTAGTGGCTGCACACACCCATTATTAATGTCGACTCTGAGGCAATATTCATAAACCTGCATTATAACCATTGTCTGTAACAGAGAGGGTTAGATTATGGTTCTGTTGTTTCGCGTTTGTTGTCTGCCAGCTCATCGCTGAGTTTTGTCCTAGGTGACGTCTGCTAACGGTATCGAGTCAAAAGCTAATCGTAAAGCAGTGCGAGAGTTCATTCGAAGTGTCGAAAAACTGCATNCTGCATCAAATGACGAGAAGCGTGCTATATGGATAGGATTGCAGTTAACTTAGATTTTTCCGGAATGAAAAATACGAGAGCATCCATGGAACCAATGAACCAACCAGGTTGCAGTATTCTATCAATTATCTTGGTTTAAGGCACAATGGTAACGTCAAGAAAACCACATTTGTTCGCCACGGCGATTAGTCCATTATCCAGTTTCCATTGTTTCTGATGCTTCATTGGGAAAATAAGTATTCTCTAACAGTCCAACGCGTAGAATTCTAGTGCAGGTGCTTCCGTGCAGCTCCCACCAACTTTCCAATGGAATGTTTAATTGTAACATAATATAAATATAGTCATAGAATGAACTCAAACGCATTTTAGCCCTAGTGGACCAAGACCCCAAGAAGAAAAACACGGTTTTCGAATCATTGCACGAGGCCTATGCTGTAAGCCTAAATGTACTACAACCCTAATACCAAAATACCTGATAATAATCCCAGTCTCCTTGTGAAACATGTAAGAAAAGACGATATGAATACTGAAATCACATATTGGTGAAATCGTTCAAGAGTCGAGAAAGCTTGTCGAAACCATTGGGAGATCTGAAAACATAAAATCAGCCACAAGTCATCTCCGAGAATCGTGACAAGCACTTCATCAATTGGCTGCGAATTGACATGACAGCCTATTTTTCCCATTCATGAAACGTGAGAGCCAAAAACACTGAAGATCTCTTCTCGCCTGATGATGAAATGTCTTCCAACTTATTACTGAACTATGCGTACATGCGAAAATAAACACTTTGTAGTTCTCTGGATTTAGACGGGGTCAGATAAACATATTGACAGCGTTGAAACCCAACCCATTATTTGTTCGGAGGCGCAAATTTTTCAGGTTGCCCAAATGAAAACTTGATTTTCTAAAGGATTACTCGGGGTGTGAATTGCAAGGCAACCGAGCATGTGATGTGTTGGAATTATTGTCAAATAGTGTGTAAAGATAGACAAAGACCATGGGAGAGCTCTTTCGTCCTCGTTAAAACTCACCGTGGTAATGTTGCTCTTGAACTGCGAACATTCACATTTTCAATCCATACTCTTATTATTTTCATTGAACAATCAGAATACCAAGCTGTGTGGAGTAATTTCAGTTTCAGTTTGTACAACCATTAACCATGCACCTTCATGCGCCGGTTTTAGTTACTGTCTTTTGGCTGCCCAGTTGGAAGAACGGTAGGAGGAAAGGTGAAAAATAGAGTTGAAGAAAAGTGGAGAATTTCAGTAGACTGAGGTTGCAAAGAAATTGCGAAGGTGCACAAACACCACTGCTTACGATACTCAGCCATATCACTCATTGTGTATAACCATTGAATACAAGGATCCCGAGGTCCCCAGCCAGGGAGCCTAATGTTTTTTCTTTTTCATTTTACTTCCTTTTATTGAAAATACAAATATACAATTTTCATGAAAGGAAAAGCGGCCAATCAAAGTACTGCCATTCAACACATACTGGGGAAAGTCATGCAGTGGTGATGGGATTCGAACTTATCCCCGGGGTGATAATTTGGTGACGCTACCACCGGGCCACCACCGCCCGACCTATGTGACCGAGTCTCGTGATTAGGGTTCTCCTACCCTCATGTCAGGTTTTATTTTGACCATCCTATGTTTTTTCACAGGTGAAGTCGCTTTCACGACTCAACGGTCGAGGCAATGACTGCGTACTCATCGGGAATGCATGGATCAGCTAGAAACTGTCGATGGCGTATGAGCACCTCCCAGAGAACCGCGGGCAACCATGTGCTATCTTCCGGTTACCTTGCAGTTAGCATTTGGATGTGCGAAGGGCCAGAGATACCACCTGGACCCAAAGCCGGGTGAAGCTAGGGACGTTTCTTGTACCTAACTCCCAAGAAATTTCATGGATATTCACTTGACATCCATGAATCCGGCTTATCCTCTCCCAAGAGCAAAGCATCTTTGGTAAGCGACCAATGCTGATGTTATCGGGTGGTGTTGGTTCTGGCTTTTCAGCCAGCGTGTTTTTGAAGACAGTTAGACAAGCTGGTTTGGACAGCTTATCGCAGTCTAACCGTCGTTGTGTAGTACATTTGGAACGCACTCTGAAGCACATGGACGGCTTGGCGCATATTAATGCGTGGTCGGATTCGAGTTGAGTGCTCCAGTACGATCGGCAGTCTTGTATGCAGCCCCGTCATTTGTGGCTTATCGCGATGTGGTCGATCTGCATCCGTCGCTGACTCGAGGAGGGTGGACGCCAAGTGGTTTACCGGGTACTGGCGATGAATAAGTGGTGGTCAGAACATAGAGCCAACAGCCGTTCCCTGTTTCCCGAGCGACAGGAATCTAGTCCGAAAGGACCTCCCAAATTCGCCTCACTCGAGGTCAACCGACCTACTCTAGCATTCATATCTCCTGCTACAATCACGATGTTAACCCGATTCGCTTTACGTAGATTATGGTAAAGTTCTTCTTTGATTGCATCTGGATTGCAGTCGGTTGGAGCGTACACGGATACGACAAACGAGTTTCGTCTGTCGTGATGATGGGTGTCTACTTTGCTCGAACGCCTGAGTCTCACTGCGTACAACCCACTGTCAACTGGGATCCAATCCAAGAGGACGGCCTCAGCTCTCTCATTGAGATCCACGACGACGCCAGAAAAACAGAAGCTGCAGCCTCTGGGTCCCAGAGTGGTGTAAGTGAAACTTCGCAGATTGGTTTGATGGGGACGTCAATCGGATAATAGAACTGGAGTCTTGGATACAACAAACATTGATGGCTAGGGTCTCAAGCATACGAACTAAACACGCCTGTTGTCCGATACGCATCAGAGTACGCCCGTTAAACGTGGCTAGTCTGAAAGGATATCGAGGACGAAGAAGGGCTTCAGCTGGTGGAGGTTTCGGTAAGATTTTGAAGCTAGTCGAGGTAGGACACGAGAGAACAGCGGCAGAATTTCCACCTGAGGCACTACTGATAGCATGCTCGTTTGAAGAACCCGAGAGAGGGGGTGTGTTAGGGATGGCGGTAAAGATGAGATGGGAGGACTGGGAAGACATAAGGGTATGTATGGTGTAGTAATTTTTTTCGATTGATGAAGCAGATTCAGAGTGCGGATCCATAAGAGCGAAAACGTTCATAGTTGTGTGCGTTGTGGGNGCTATTGTTTTACTCGGTCGCATGATCCAGAGTAGACCTTGTTCAAGGGTGCACTCTAGCCTTTGCACAACCAAGCGCAGACTGCAAGGCAGCAGTGATGTTCTAAATGAGCCAGTGACCAGTTTTCGTTTCATTCACCCCTTCTGGAAAACCTCGTCGCACTACGGGTCTCGACAAGGGGCCATTGCCATATTTCGTTATCATCATCATTGTCCATCGTAATACAGTGAAGCGAACTTCTCTGATCTCTACCAAACTCATAATGTATACAAGACAAGTAAGAATGTATAAGGGTTTGGGCCTATTTTTAAGGGCAGGAAAAGAAAGCGAATCTCTATGGTCAACACAAATCAGCTGTGTGTGCATACTGTTTCAGACATATTTAATGGCGGGCCATACTCGCCATGTCACAACACTGTCCACATATTTGTACGAAGAACCCTTACTGTATCATATGTGGCAACAGGAGAAAGGGTTTTGCGGGTGTCCAGCAGGGTTTCCGAGGTCGACATGATCCATTGTTTGGGCCTTGAGAAAGCACCAGATTCCGCCGTTGTTTATCGATATTTGCACAGCTTCCTTGATTTACTTCCAGTGTTCGTTGAGTCCTTCGGCTTGTGGTTCAACCGATAGGTGGTCAGAGAGTTCCGCTTCGAAAGCTGATTTGCAACTATCGCTGATATTGCATCGTGAGTATTCGTTGTCTGTGGCTTTATCGCAGTTTTTTGCGAGGCTTAAGGATAAGTTGGCTCGCAACACAACGTGAGATTATTCAGGATTTTGGAGAAGAACTAGATAGATGGAAATGAATTTTTACTAAATGAACGGCCAAGACTTACTTCGCAGTATCCCACACCGACAAAGGGGTTTTCTTTGGGAACCTTAACCGGAGCCTTTGACTCAAAAGTGTGCACCACAGGGCAGTGGGGCGTAAATCCAACGCGGGAGCGTGAACGAAGCACTCGTGTGGGAGCTTCTAGAGACCTGTCACGCAAAGCCTTTGAATTTCGGTTATTTGTGTTGTTCAGTGGTGCGTTGATTATCGGTCCGCTTTTTGGGATCGGCCCTTAATCTCATGCACCCAATGAGACAAACGGAACGTGGACGAGACAGCACCTTATTGGCTGCCCAGCTTGGGCGGGCGGTAGTTGTCCAGTGACGTGTGAAAACTTCTCCCACCGTCGAGAGGAAGCCTCAGGTACCCAGCTCCTACGTTCATCTAGCGAATTTTTTTATCGGTAGACTGCCCCTTCTCGTGTTTTTTTTGCTGGAGTGACCTCTCCAGAGGCTGATGTGGATAGGCGAAGGAAGCCATGAGATGCCCAAGCAACTGGCCTTGTGAGACTGATCTTCGTCTGGCATCTACCCATCGACTTTTCCGGTATGATTGAATCTGCGGCTGTGAGCAGCCATCCTGTGTCGCTTCAAGGGTCATGAGGGTACACAAACCATCACACTACATCAAGGTGCAGTCTCGTCGTTATGGGAGGAATAAGTGAAACCTCAAGGCATGAAACCCACACCTAAAACTAGTACATAGGTCTTTTGTCAGTTACTGCAGTTTGTCTTGAATTCATTCTAATTGATCCCAACCTGGCAACTAACTCTCACGTTTAATTCCACACAGCTATGGGTTTACACAGGACCTGCTTCGCAAGCGGGCTTATCCTGAGAGATAACGAACAATCATTGTGGACGTTTTGATTTTAGTACCCACCTTCACGGCTATTTCCTGAAAGCAACGCTAATTTCCACCCAAGGAATTGATGGAATACCTTTATATGATAACAGTTTTTGTACTTCCTATTTGACTATGACTAATTGTACACTTGTTTATCTGTGCGGCGCTGCGGTCGGCTTTGGGATTTGTGGCAAATTCTGAAATTGGAGCAACTCATAACCTTCATTTTGCAGTAATAATGACCCTAACTACTTCCCCGCCGCCACTACTTTATAAATGAGGTGTTGTTCGAAAAGGTCTTCACAAAGTTTCCGGGCCTGTCTACTTTTGGTGGATAACAGTTTAATCAGCGCATGTTTTCGAATCTGACGGATAGTGGATGGGGCTCTAGTTTGTTGTTGTGATCTGGAGTACATTTCTGAACTCCCTGTATCACTACAGGGAATTCATCTATCTTACCTGGTGTAACTAAATGCATTCCTTTCTGAAACAAAGCCCATCGGTTTCAAATATGATAAGTTCTGTCGGTATATTGTACGGTGGAAGAGGAGTGTGATAGGTCTGAGATAGTTTTATGTTGCATAAACCAAGCGTAATACTGCATAGTTTTGTACATTCAAGGGTTTTTACCCTCACACATTTCGTCATGCATGCCACATTTCACCACTGACCATTGCTCAACCTAGCTTTTGAATCACTCCTGCCCACCAACTAACCGGAGAGACAAAGGTTCAAACAGAAAGAAGGCATAGGTCATGCACCTTGGGCGGAATCGTCGTTGCAGGTTCACTTCGCACAACCATTAACTGGGACTGTCACGTACCGATCTTTTAATCTTAGAAAACCGATATGAGTGGTGTCGAGTCATTTACTAGCGGTGAGTCGCATAAACAAACGTAGATACACACGATCTAGAGCATCCTGATCTTTGAGGTCACATCTAGATGATTATTGTTGTTTCACATTCTTCGCTGTAATAAGACAGGTTCAAATTCAGTTATCTGACATATGACCTTTAAGTCACCGTAGGACAAAAAAACAACTGCTGGGAAAACTAGACAGAAGAAGAGAAAAATCATATTCCCATTGAAAATCCGCTGGTCCTGTTATTGTTTCAATGGCTTTATCTAGTTAGCACCCTATAATAAGCCTTGACTTTCATGATTTCGTCATAATTGCTGTCAGTCAGGAATGCACTACAAATGACTGCGTGAGGGCCAGACACTTGATGTCTGTCTTTTTGTTTAGTCACCTCAGTGTTTTTCAATGTCAACCAGCTTCTACGGATCCTCCACTGCGGTTTTATCATCTAATTACCGCTTGAGATAGTCTTTGTTGTGACTCACCGTCGATGCATATTCTTTTCGTCCCGTGGTTTAGTTCGTCTACCATAAAAGAAAGCTCCACGATCGCACTTTTGCATCAAACCTTTGCCAGTCGTTTTGTTTTGGAGCGGAAGAAAGAGTACCTTGTTGTGACCAGAACGCATTCACGAAGTTCACGTTCGTTCCTCGTCTACTTTTTACCTTCTCAAAAACGTAAGCTGTAATGCGATGGTAACCAGATAATGTTCATGAACAAAAACCAGACAGTTTAATGAAAACAGCTCCTAAGTACTGCAGTTGTATACCGTGACTAGTGGATGCGATTCGCGAGTGTTATTCGAGACAAATGTATGTTCGAAGGTTGGAATTGTTCAGCAATTTATATTGCTGGGATCCGGGAATACTAATGAGGCGTAAAACACCAAAGGGGAGCGGTATAAAAATCGATCACCGAAAGGAAGACGCTAACGGTGCTAGTATAGCGATATTTAAGAATTAGAAATCATGAGTCATCTTCGCTCGGTAATGAATGAAATCACTCAGCATACAAACCAGGTTCAGTTTAAGGAAAACATGATGTGACAGGGAACAGTACAGACTTGCCTTCAGGTGGATTGTGCTGAAATCGAAAAGTTAAGGATTGTATGAAATGA